CTGCAGAAAAAAGCAGGCAGGGAGGCAGTTGAAAATACAGAATTGCTTTCAACTTACCTCACCCTGAGAGGCCTGGGAATTCTCAGTCGTCAGGGAATCTTGCCCATTCTCAATCTGTAACAGGAGAAAAATTATCAACACACCTTGTAGCAGACTGAGAGCTGAAAGAAAAAAACAGGTTCGGGAGAAAGAAAGGTCAAAAACGTTTTAGGGACCGAAATGTCAGAGCGAGAGATGGTTACAGAGATAGGGAGGGGTGTAGGGACTGGAGGAAGTCACAGAGATAGGGAGTGATGTGGGGACTGGAAGAAGTCTCAGAGATAGGGAGGGGATGTAGGGGTTGGAAGGGGTTACAGCGAATGGGAGCGGTGTTGGGGACTTGAGGGGCTTACACATATTGGGAGGGGTGTAGGGGCTGGAGGAGTGTCCAGAGATGGGGGATTTGAAGGGTGAAAATACAAAGGAGACAAAACAAGGAAACAAACAGAAGATAAAGGCTCCAAATCGACACAGAGACAAGTTTTAAATCATGAACACATAAAACCCTATTGCCTAGCAGCTGGTCTTTCTGGGTGATTTATTCAGTTATGAACATTATAAATGCATCAACAGAGAATGTCGTATCTTTGCTCACCTTGGACATTGTGAGGCACTGGCTCATCTCAATGAAGACCAGCAGCATCAGAGTGACCAGGACCAGTCGGGTTTTCATCTGACCGCTGCCCATCTCGACTTGTCTTGTCCGATCTTTGAGCTTTTCTGTGATGTTGCTTTGGTTTGTGTGATCTCATTTATACCCCTGCTCTGGAGAGGTTGAGGGACACCTCGATGTTCGAGCAAACAAGTCAGGGATCTTTGCCGGGAATTGGGACCATCCAACTGTGTGATGTTGAAATCAGAGTAGGTCCAATTGTAAACACACACACATCGTTACTCATTAATGGGAATGATATGTAAAGGAATTGAAATAGAGTCAACACATTTAGCAATGTTCACAAATAAAGGAGACATTTCACAACTACTCACTTCCAAGTCATCTGCTGAAACCTTTTCGTCTCTCTCCATCTCTCTGTCCCATTTCCTTTCAGACATTCCTTCATAACTGAAGCCAGAACCTTTTTGAGCAGAATAGTGTACACACCCACCTCTCACCCATTCACAAAATTGCAGGACCATGCCCGT